TGTTATCCACCCCTTGAATCAGGACATACAGACATCTGACCAAGTCTCCCCTCCTATCCCGTTGTGCAGAATGGCAAGGTACTTTAAACTTTGCTAGCACTTTGTTTTTTTTTATCATTGGGCAAGTATGCCCAGGACACGTCTTTTTTTCTTAATAGGGATCCCCATTTGTGGTACTGGTTCTGACCCTCAGAGTCAGATGGTGGAGGAGACTGGTAGAACTGCTGCATTCAAGTCCAAGGAGATCTTACTGCCTCAGTCCTAGTCCTCTTCCCTGTTGTAGCAGGAGGGGAATCAACTCTTTGAAAGGGTGAGTGACAGCAGGACAAGGGGAAATGGTTTTAAGCTGAGGGAAGGGAGATTTAGGTTGGACGTCAGGGGGAAGTTCTTTACAGAGAGAGTGGTGAGGTACTGGAACAGGCTGCCCAGAGAGGTTGTGGATGCCCTGTCCCTGGAGGTGTTTAAGGCCAGATTGGATGGGGCCCTGGGCAATATGGTCTAGCATTAGATGGGATGGTTGGTGGCCCTGCGTGTGGCAGGGGAGTTGGAGATTCATGATCCTTGAGGTCCCTTCCAACCCTGGCCGTTCTGTGATTCTGTGATAAATGATGCCAGTCCACCTGCTAAGATGGTTGGTGATACGTAAGTACTCAGGCATCTAGCAGCCTAGGCTGTTCTTGAACTGAGATGACTTTGTATCCATGGGAGACAGTGCTCCCAGGATAGAGTTTGCTCCCAGGATGGTACAAGGTAACTCTGGAGTTCTGCTACACCAGTATAAACTATGGGTAGTACAGCCCAAACACTCAGACTTGAGACAGGGCTTCTGATTCTTGTGACCCTCCTTGACATTTTGTTGCTACCTGCTATGATTCTTTAAAGAACATGCGCGAAGATTGTATTGCAAGTGCGTGATAAATGTGCATCTGGAAGGGGTGAATTCAGCTCTCTGCCAACAATCCCATTGACATCCAAGGGTACTGCAGGACAGGAAACTATCTTATCCATGATTCAGACTATAGCTTCGGAGAAACAGCTGTCTGGGGCTGTTCTCATGCCTACTGCTAATTCCTTGCCCATCGTCTTGCACTGCTGTGACTGTCTGTCCTTTCTCTTCTGGAGAGAAGGGCTCGTGGGCTCTGTTTTTTCCCTATTTGTTTTATTTTGATGGAAAAGGTTGTTTTCTTCCCCACTTCAGTGTCTGAGGGTTGACAATGCATGAATAATAGAATCATAAAATCATAAAATGGCCTGGGTTGAAAAGAACTTCAAAGATCATCTAGTTTCAACCCCCTGCCACGTGTAGGGTCACCAACCACTAGACCAGGCTGCCCAGATCCACATCCAGCCTGCCTTGAATGCTTCCAGGGATGGGGCACCCACAACCTCATGAAAAGCAAGGTAGTTGTGTTACTTCCATGATCAGGCATCTCCACAACATATATACTCCATATGGGAAAGCATGGAACTAATGAACAGAGCACAGGGCTCTGAATTGGTCTTAACAGATTTATTCAGAGCGTATGCAGATTCTGGAGAATATGCTACAGGTGAAATCCAATTTAGTATTGCAACAAACTGATCTAAATAGTTCCACTGACAGTTAGAAGTCTAAGCACCATAGTTATCCTAATGCATATAAACATGGTCATACAGCCTAATGTATTGGGATGGACTCTTAGGTAGTGTGTATTTATTAATATAGTTTAGTGTCTCCCATTAGAAATTGCAGGGTTTCAGTTATCCATTTCCTATAGCTAAATAGATGGAAAAAAAAGAAGTGGAAATTGAGGAGAAGATTCACCAAACTACTTTGCATTAAGTTTTATTAGGCTTCCTCCTGGAACGGCTCCACTTTGATCTCTTCTCTGCCCAGATTCAGATCCCAGCTCCTGATTTCTACCAAGGAAGAAATGCAGGGTAGCAGGGTGTCTGTACTTAACTTCTTTTTTTTTACTTTTTTTTTAAGCTCTGTAGCATGTTCTTGTGCTCTCAATTCCGGATAATGCTGGATCCCTTTTATCCAGCCCCTCCTCTTGCCCTTTCAAGTGAAAAGAAGACTCCTGTGCCCCCCCATCAAAGTTAAAGGGAGGCTTTAGAGAGGAAGGCTCAGCACGCTGGGGCTCTTGAGCCTGTGTTTAATCTCGTTTCCCGTTCCTGTGTGCCTCTGTGGCTTCCCTGCCAGTTTCTTTGTTGCCGAGTTTTTCATTTCCTTTTATTTGTGTGTGCGGGAGGTTGCCAGGCTCGCTGGAATGCAGCTGAAGTCATCTTGGGGAGATGCGGTTCGGCCCCCGCCCCGGGTTCTACATGACCTGCCTCACCCTGCAGCAGGCTTGCCTGGCTGCACATGGAGTGAGCCTGGGAGAGGCAGCAGGGAATAGAGGTGCCTACCTGGCTGCTGCAGGTAGATGGGCAGTGTCCAGCACTACATGGGCTGTGGAGGAGGACGGAGGTCAAGAAAAGGGACTGAGGAAGATCTTGACTTCTGCAGCTGTCCTGCCTTGGGACGGAGGGCAGAGACGTGTGCAGCCTTTGGCAGGGGAGGGGGACCTGGCGTGTCTCAGCTACTGCCTAACCTCAGCTGACCTCAGCGCAGTGCCCCTAGTGCTGACCACTGCTGTCACTGAATGACATTGGACTGAAGGTGTGGCCTTTGGCTGCATGCTTGGATTTGCTCCCAGGAACAATACGGGCTGCATTCTGCTCCAGAGGGAGAGAACTTGAGTCATACTCATCCAGTGGGGCCATGAATGTTGTTCCAGAGCTGGACATGGCTCTAAGGATTTGCACTGGTCTTAACATTTGTCAGAGACTGAGTTTGTGTTCATGCTGTTTGCTCTTCCTTCAGCATTGAGGTACTGCAGTGGAAGTAGTTGAAATCAGGCATGGCTGGAACATCAATTCTCTGATGCAGTTTGTTTCAATTTCCCTTACATCTTGTCCCTTCCACTAGAATGAAGATGCAAGTAGTATTGTCAAGATTTTCGCCTCTGGTAGAGTAGACCATGTGGGGACAGTTTGGCATGTAAGATTATCATTCAATTCTGCTTAAAATGGTCTTAAGGAAATGTAACTCTGACAGCATCACATAAAATGAGTCAGTATGATTAGCCCATTTGTTAGGTTGTGGAAACCAACAAACAAGGAAAGGGATTGTCTGGTGATCAAAGCTGGACAACTTATGACCAGCTTCTGGAACTTCCTTGAACTTCCCAGGGTACATATCTAGACTGCAAGAAATGGGCCTTGATCTAGCAAATGAACAAGCTCTTTGGGCTTCCTAATCCATGCTGAGTTTCACCTGGAACCCTAGTAAAGTTTATCAAAGGGCTTCCTAGGGCCCTGAGTGTTCTATTGGGCCTTAATGGTCCTGACCAGTCTCACCTGGAGCCTCCATCCACACCTTTTTGCTGACGAGCCCCCCAGGCTCTATTTATGCTTGGCCTGGGCATTCAACCTACTTGGTTGCTGTGGGGCTGGGTCCTGGTGAGGTCCCTACCCTGCCTATGAGTGTTGTGCTCAGCTCCTGATTCTTCATCTCTTAGGGAGCAACTGGTTTGTGCTTCTTTCTGACTGATCTGGGGTAAGATTTCAGAATGGGGAAGTTGAATATGGTGAGCAAGGTACATAACCTGATCTTACATAACTACATCATGGGGAGCATGTAACACACTGAAACGTGGTTTCCAGCAAGAAGCATGATCCTTTTTATTTGTTTTGGAGGCCTGTGCAGGGACACTAAGCGTGCAGTCTCGCTGTGTTTCAGCATTTCCATGTTGTTCCCTTTGGTATGTGTTCTTCTGGCTTCCTTCGTGGCAAATAAGTTGAGAGAGCACCTGTGAGAGCAGGTGGCTTTTTTACTGGGGGCTTTATAAGGATATTTTTCTACAGTGCTTCAGGAAGAAATTTTAGAGAGGGATTTCAGGCCAGACCAATCTACTGACTAAGTTGGGTCAATTGAAATGTTACTTGTTTTATTTATTTGGCAACTCTTAATTTTTCATTCTATGTTAAAAGTCTAAAAATCCTCTGGAAATTTCTTTGATCTATGGAAAAATGTAAGAAGAGAAATCTTGGTTTCAGAGAGCTGAAATTGAGTAGAATTTCTTTAAGTTGTCAAACCCTAGATAGACCTATGCCACTGGTAAGTCGAGACAGGTAGTTTCTCTGCTGTCTATATATTGGATCAATGCATATATTCTTACATTTGTTTTCTCTACCTTCTGCTTTTTGGCACTTACAAAAGTAGTAGGTCCTGGTAATATTTTATTTTTAGTTCATCCTGCTTTGTAATGGAAGGACGTGTTATCTGGCTTCTCAGAGCCTCAGCAAACCTGTCTTTTGTGGCTGTGAGCTGTTGTGCTGCCTGGACCAGGGCTGTTAGGCTCATGGACACTCTGGCTATCAGCCAAATGGTATCGACACTATGGTATGTGCCAGATCTCCCTGCTGCTTTGTTCAAGGAGCTTTTGTGCTGCTATTGTCTATCTGTTCCCTCTGGACAGGTCTGTAGGGTTGTGCAACTCTGAGTTTGTGTACTTCTTACCTGGATGTAATTGTTTTGGCCTTGCACATAGAACAGTCTGTCAATTTGCAACCCTGAAACTCCTGTAGGAGACCTAGAGAATGCATTGCATGTCAAGGGGAAGACTAACTGGTAAATATAATCCAGCAAGCAGGGTAGTGTCACTTGCAGAGGAACTTTCATACTTGCTTCTTTTTTTTCCTCCTTTCTTCCCCAGTCTCCTATGAGTCTGGTTTGCTAGCTAAGCATCTAGCTATTAAAGTGAATCACTTCTATAGAGGATTTCTCTAAAATTTCTAGCACATCTTAAAATGAAAAATTTATTTTGTATCTAAGATGTTAAAAAAAAGCTTCTGACAAGCACAGTGTCTTATTTTTATGTTAAAAAAATACTTTTCAACCATTTTTTTAAAATACTCCAGCTTTTCCAAATTTCACTTTCTATTTTTCTTATTTTAATGACCTCAAATCTTATTCCTGGTTTTCTTCACGAGGATGAAGTACTCTGGAATGGCAGAGCAGAAGGAAAGCACATCTTCTAACCACTCTGATTATCCCCTGCTGCTGCTTGGCATCCACACATGCTGCAAGAGAAAAGCCAGACCTGGAAGCAATCTGCTGAGAGTTTCAAATTCTCTCTGTTCCTCTCTTCCAGTCCATTAGGCCAGAAAGGGAATGGCAGTCAACAAGTTTTTCATCTGTAAGTGTAGTCCTGGGATTTCCCCTTTTTTTTTTTTTTTTTTTTTTTCCCCCCCCAGCTTGAGCTGAAGACCAATTTCCAGTTCTCAGTCATGCTCAGCTGAACCTCTACTTGATTTTTCACCCACTCTCCTCACATTAATATCTGCTTTGAACTCATTCAGGATATAGGTGAATCATTCCTCAACACAGCTCTGGTTCCAACTTATGTTGATTACTGCTGTCTGGATACAATATGGTCCTAATGTGTGACATAATTATCCCTTGAGAAAGGAAGGAGTTTTTGCAGGGGTTTGGCCTAGGTCTACTTCTGATCAATGGTTGTTTTGGTCATTTTGATAATGAAATGGAAACCACCATATACAGTCTGCAGGAGATAGAAAGCTGAAACGAAGCTGCAAATCCATTGGAATATAGGGTTATAATGTAGTTTGATATGCTAAGGAAATAAACTAAAACTGGACAAGTAAAATTCAGTAGGTGCGAAGGCGTGACTAAGCAAAGGAGTAACTGGGGCACTGCAAAGTGAGGGCAGATTACAAGCACTGTGAATTGGTAGTGCTGTACTCTTACAGAAAGAACGTGTTTGGGTCTGGTATATATTAATGTTAGGTTCACTGCTAAGACATAAGATTCCCACAGCTCTCTGTCATCCTGCAGTGGAGTCCTGTCTAGCACAGGGTGCCATGCTTCCAGGTCTGTACTGGTCCTTTGGAGAGTGTCAGTTGAGAAGACCAAGGAGTGTGCATGGAGCTGGAAACTGGGTCCTGTGAGGAAAGGTTAAGAAACATCTTTAAGGGAATGCAGGAGAGAAAGCTGTAAAATCCAGTTTCCCAGAGTGTAAAGGGATGATGTCAACAAAAAGGTGAACAACCATTTGCTGTGCCCACCTGCTAATAAGCAGAAAGAAGTAGGTTTGTATGTAATGGAGGAGACTAGGTAGTAGAAAGCCCTTGCTAAGTCACAGACCATGGAAACACCAGTAAAGGTTGCCCATGTACCTATTGGAACCTTGTCTGGGGGTGTTTCAGAACATACATCAGCTGAGAATTGTCTGGATGTATTTGTCTCAACAAAGCAGCACAGAGGGGTTCTTGAAGCTTTTCTTCCCAGCCTTCATTTCTTCATTTCTCTCTATCCTTCTCATCAGCCTGGAAACTGACAGGGCAGTGGGAATTCCAGAGGAATTTGTACATTCTCCCACTTTATAGTGGTGCTTCAGCTTGTGTAGGTTGATCCCCAGCTTGTTGGAAGGCTATCAGAAAGCTTTCCATTTTAGAGCTGAACTGTCTTGTGGGCAGGTTGAGGCAGTACGTTCACTGTAAGATTACTCAAATTTGAAGACTCTGATCTCCAGTGGTGTGTGTGTACTTATATAAATAGAATTTTTGTAGCACTGGCCACAAGCTGGCTCTATTTCTTATTGTACCTACTACATCTTGTTGTAATACATGACTGTTTGTTTTTCCTTACAAAAAAATATCTAAGGAGGGGGGACAGTTTGAGGTTTTCTTTTTTCCTCCAATATAAAACCTCCTGAATTGGTGAAAACATGTAGTGCAGTGTATGGATTCCCCCAGCGGAAAGCAAACCTACCTAAAGTTGTCCTACCTGATGCAAAATGCTTAAAGCTTCCCGGTTGGAAGATGACTGATTATCAAACTATTACGTGGTGTTACAGATCACATCTCTTCTTTGATTGAAGATTAAACTGGCAATGATGGGGAGAGATCCTTGGGACAGGTATCCCCTGGAGGTGAGCAGTGCAATAAGCTCATGGCTCTTTCACCACATCAGCTCCTCTGTTCCAGACCGACCTACCAGCAGCCCTGTGCTTTCCCCCTCTCTGTGACCCTGGCATATGCATGGCTCGTTAGCAGCAGCCTGGAAATCAGGAGAGCCTGCTATGGCAGCAGCTGCTTTTCCAGGGCTGTCCCATGTGCAATGCAGTGTAGAGGCTGTTTTGCCAAGGTGAGGCACTCCCTGCAGCTGGCTGAGGTGGAGCCCATGTGAGGCACTGGGCAAATGGAGCAAACTTTGCTTCCTTGCAGAGTGCTTCCCCCTTACGCTCTGGCCTGCCCAGCCAGCCACTCTGCTCCCTGATGTGCAATGTGGCCAACTACCAGGGAGCAGGTGGAGGAAGAGCCATCTGGATTCAACCAAGCTCATTTTCAGGTTGGAACCTGGGGAGCTGGAACAAAGGATGGCAGTGCCTGAACTAGGGTGTCTCTAAGTAGTGTGGGAGTCTCAAGCTCTGTGCAAACAACTACCTGTATTTCCATACCTCTGCCCCTGCATCAGGATTGTACAGGCTGTGCTCATGGTTGGAATGCCCTGGCTTGCTTTGGTGTGCCTGCTGCCTTTGGGCCCCATGGTGCCAGCTGAGCTTCTCCTGGCTCGGGTTCTGCTTTGCTCCATGCTAGCTCCAGGCAGCCCAGCTGTGTGGGGCTAGTCATTGGGGAACTGGGGCTGGCAGAGATGAATAGAGGATGTGAACAGGTCCCTTGGTGCCCTTTTCCCTCAGTCTTGTTTCCCTCTCAGCAGGGGGAAGCAGTCACTGCACAGTCCTCTGCCGATTGCATCGGGGAAAGTCATTAAAAAGAATTAAAAAGGAAACGGAGAGAGAGGAGGAAAAAACCCAACAACTCAACAGCCCCAAACAGTTACAAACTTAAACAAAAGAACAACAGAATATTCCTGCTCAAAGGCCTTGTCTCTTCTGTCTGGTAGCAAAGCAACATTCTAGTGTTATACTGGGAGGGGGGGGAGGCCCAGAAGTACCTCCTACCTTCCTTTCCATCTCACCAAGCACACCCCCAGCTGAGGTAGAACCCAAAGGGGTTCTGCTAATGACAGGGAGGTTGGGATCTCATCTCGAGACGCCCCTTGCTGCTGTACAAAGCAAGCTTTTCAGTGATAGTGCACTGACTGGCTTGCCTTAGTTTACTCACGTGTATTCTGATTAATATTGTGTATTAATTTGAGTCTCTGCGTTTTTATGGCCAGCTGTACTTTTCATCCTGTAACTGTGGTGTGTTTTACAATTTGCAGGTTTGTCTTCATACAGCTTCAAGTGCTGCTGTGGAATTGTGCCACTTCGTGCACTCACAGTTGAGCAGAGGCAGAGCCTGTGGAAACGAGCAGTCCCCAAACATCAGTCAGGTAAGGGTGTTTTGTGGTGTGTTTCTGGGGTGGGTGGTGGTGAGGTGGTGCACTGTTAACTTGTGCACTTTATGCATCACTTCCCAGGGCTGTTTCTCTGGGGGTATTTTGAGGCATTCGCTCTGAGCATCACCATGGGGACAAGCAGGGGGGAAAGAACACAGTTTGTATTTCTTTGATTGTTGTGTGATTGTACTCTCACTGTGTGACAGTGAAGGTGTAGAATGGACCACGTACCTCTTTCCTGTGTGTTCCATGCAACAACAAAATGCACACGCGCTCACGTACAGACACACACCCTCCAGGCTCCAGTGGGTGTAGAGAGTGTGTGTGTGTGTGTGTGTGTGTGAATGCTATTTAAATAAAAAAGAAAGGAAGTGAATCAGGGTCGTTTCCATTTTAATTGTAAAACAGATAAGCACTAAACACTTTGAAAAAGTAAATGACTTGAGAATAATTACTATCTATTACTCTGCGTCCCAGGGGGGCAGTTGGAGGAGCCCAGATGGCTACAAAAATGGGATTTAGCAGAAAATTGAAGACATTATTCACCGTAACACATTATCAATTACCTTCATATCAATTACAATAACCTTACATTAGAAGAAGGGCCAGGAGACTATCTTCAGCCCCCAGCCTGAATAGTAATTGCACTACCCCTATGGATGGTGTGTGTGTGTGTGTGTGTGTGTGTGTGTGTGTGTGTGTGTGTGTGTGTGTTAAGGGGTGGGGGGCACCGCTGGGTTGTGCAGGGGCTCTGGCAGCTCCCACTGCTCATGGCAGAGATTATAATAATGGCTCGGGTCCTTTTCCCTCCTCTTCTTATAGTCACCTCGTGGAAGGTTTTTCTCTGTCCTGTTTGTGTGCTCTAATGGTTCGAAGGGCAGCTGATGTGGCTCCTTCCAAGAAATTCTGCTTGGCTTGCCATTTGGGAAGTTTGGAGTATCTGTGCAGAGACGGCTGTTTCGCACCAGTGTCTTCTACTTTCCTGTTCCGTCCCTCAGCCATTTCAGCCAAGCTGCTCATCTTATTAATGGGGGCTGGTATGCAGTCTGAGGTCCTTTTCTATAGGACCAGGATTTCTTTGGTGCAGCAATCTGGCTCCTTCAAATCCCATGCAGGAGGTGGGAGCTGCTCCCTCTGCCAGTCCCAGATGGGGCACCAGCTCGTGTTTACTGTAAGCACTTGCAGAGCGGTCACAAAGGCCTTGGATGGGATACGGAGGTGAACCAACCAAAAACAATTAAAGAAAGAATCTCTTGTCCTATTCTCCAGAGATGGAGGAAAGCATCCTAGGGAGGACCAAGACTGCTTCAGCAGGCTGGTAGCATGAAGGTAGTGCTAAGGACATCCTGTTGCCTGTGGCTGTCCCTTGTTGCCAGCTGGGGCAGCCCTCTGAGCTGCTGGTAGGTCAGTGTTTCTGACTGGCTGGCTAATGCTTCTGGCTTGCCATGGTGTCATTCTGAAGTCCCACCTCCTGCATTTGTGCTTGATCCTGCTCAGCCAACTGTTTACACAGACAACATTCAGATCTAGCTGTTGTGGTTTTATTTTCAGCTGTGATCCAAACAGGATGCACTGCCATGGCCTCCTGGTCTGTGTGCAAATGTATGTGTGGGAGATGAGCATCAGGGCAATTATGAGTTAAACTCTTGGTGACACTCCCTCCAGCCTCCCCCCTCTCCCAAATATGCAGTGGAGTGTCCAGTGGGTTAGTGCATGGAGAGGACTAATTGCTATTAAAAGGCTTTAATCTGGGAGATTAGTGCTGGCTCCAGGCGCTGTTTGCACACGAAGGAGACGTTTCCGATGAGATGAACTAGAATTCGTCCCTGCTGTTTTGTTGATAGAAAATCATGTTCCCCTTGGTTTTTTCTCTTTATCTCTGTCTCTCTTGCTTTCTCTCTCTCTGATCATTTGCTTTTGCGTCTTCCTCGAAGTTGAGCTAAGAGCCTTATTGTTTTTAGAGTAACAGTCCTCTTTGACCTTTGGGATTGGAAATGCATACAGGCATGCATGTACATACACGTGCAGCCAGAATTTTGTGCTCCAAGGAGTGCTTTAGGAAATGCATCCTGATCAAGAGAAGTAATGATAAATACGTTTCCCCTTTGCTTGCTGTTGAGTCTCTTGTGGATGAGTGAGGTGCCTGCAGAACCCTTCCTGTAACGCAGGCCAGGCCAGTCTCCTCCTGGGCCTGATCCAGGAGACATAAGAAAGAGATGTTGCAGACTTAACATCTTAAAGCTCCCTGCAGAGGTAATTAGTGGGAGGTAATTAAATGATTACATATGGGAAGGTGTAGAGCATTACTGGACCTCCAACATGACCCAGAAAATGTCACCATTGACTTTAATGAACACTGGATCAAGCTCAGTGGAAATTAATTTGATAATGCACCAGATGTGTCCAGAGGGCCTGTCCATGTAGGAGACACGTTTGACCTGGGAGCACGGAACTTTCTGTGCTATTCCTAGCAGAGGATCCAAAACCAGAGATGCTTACTCTGAGCTCACTGTTGTCAGAAATCTAAGCTTGTCTATCAGGTCTGACTATCTAGGCAGATAATTGCTGCTGCTCCTACTGTCCAGCTAGAGTTTTTACAGCATCCTAAGGACGTTGGTGCCAATTCCCTTGGAAAAGTGCAAAGGAAGAAATGGACAGTATTTGTGTGTAACTTGAGCAGGAGTAACTGAAGGCATTGTATCCCAAGGAGAAGAATGTGTAGAAACTTGAGGAGAAAAGGAGGTCTCAGGTAGAACCACAAGGTGAAGGTTCCTTCTGTCTTTGAGGGTGGTCAAAGAAAAGCTATGACAGAAAAATGGTAAGTGGGAATAAGCATCCTCAAATCAATGAGGCTGAGAATCAAGAGGAAGGCTGAATGGGGACAGAACTGATTCAGGATCTGGGTCTTCTGTTCAAAAAGGTAAAGGCTTTTCAGGGAAAATGTATTCTATTTGCAAAGTGTCACACATCTTCTGTGCTCTGTCTGAATACTACAGGCAATACCGTTTTGCAGGATGCTGCCAGAAATTTCCATGAGATTGCACCTACGCTTATTTGCACCATCTGCAAGCATTTTAGGAGGTGGAAATCGGGCACTGGGAGCAGAAAAAGGAAAATTAAGTCAGCTCTATAACCACGGGCTGCTGCAGTGGTTGTGGAGCCCGTTGCTTGGCAAAGTGGTACCAAGATATGAACCTGTCACAGCACGGTCCTCTTAGGAAGGCTTTGTAGTAACTGGTATTTTCAACAATAGTCTCTCTCTCACTCTCACACACACACAATCTCTCAACCTGCCTGAAAATCCAAACTGTTGGTCAGCAGGAGGCCAAATCTACTGCTTGGGTAAATTGCTCTAGTTCCATTGTTTGCCCTTGTTCTCTCAAGTTTGCAGATGATGCTGATGTAACCAGTGTGAGGATCTGGCCTCTAGCATGTGTTTGTCCCATCTGCTGTCCAGCATGTTAATTTTCATGGAAGACACAAACTTGCACGGACTGTGATTTTAAGGAGGGGCCCTTTTCCTTTCTGAGAGCCAACTGCGAGGCCTCAGGGGCCAGGTTCTGAAAGGCAGTCAATGCCAAGATCAGGAGGGGCTGGGAACCTGGATCCTGGCAATCTCTGGCTTGCGGTCCAATACTGCCAAGGCCACAGGGAAGCATGTGTTAGACTTTTGCATAAAAGCTTAGATGATATTAAAGATTTTTTGACAGCAGCATCCTTGGGTGGAAGGGGTAGGCTTGCGAAAATCAGACTTGGCTGAAATGAGCCTTGAAAAAATCCTTGAGGGGTTTAGGAATATTGGGGCAGGGAACATATTTCCACTACAGGTGGAAATGTAAAAATACTGATTTCATTGAGAAAAAAGCCAAAAGGCTGAGCAGTGTAAGGAAGGTATACCTGTTTCTCAAATAACTGCTGCTTTGTTGGGAATTGTCTGACTTTTGAAAACAAAATGTTTGCTAACCTTGCCTACATTCAGAAATTCTCCTTCGCTTGGGCCAGTCTATGCTCAAATTCTGACATCAGTCTCTCATTTTATATGTGGTTTCCTAAACCAAGTCCTGCTTCTGGGAGCAAGATAAAGTCACTTGCATACTTTATTCTGACATGAGTGTCTTTTGTGCTCTCTTCCTGGCCTTCTTCATTAGAAAGTCAACCCCATAGAGCACCTCTACTGCCTTGGACTGCTGTGGCCAAATATCTGACTAGCAGACTGGATTTCAACTCGGTACAGCAGGAGGAAAAAAAAAAAAGGCAACAGATACGTGAGAAGGATTCCATTTCTTTCCTGATCCTCTCCATTCCTTCAGTTTCAACAGGAGGAGAAGCAAGTCCAGACCATTGTTCAAGTGATCCTTCTTCTAGCATTTGATGCTGCAGATATTTATTGCTATTAATATGTAGATATCATAATATGCTCAGTGATCTTAAAAGTCTTGTTTGAGATATAAGGTCTGTGATACTTGAGATATTTTTTTAAAATGTTCAGGCCTTATTTAAAAAAAAAATCTGACACTGTGAATCTAAATTCTATTCAAATCACTTTTGTTAATATCATCAAGATGCATTTCTTGGTTAGTACCGACTTACAAATGGCTTATTTTATGTTTGGGTGGTGGTGTTATTAACTCTTACTTTTATTGCAAGTTTCTTGAAAACTAATGAGTTTCTGAAGATCCCAGCTCTTAGAATCAGGTGAGCAGATGAGTGTCAGCTGTCCTTCTAGTTCATTATCTTTTCAGTGCTGCTTGTATGTTCAAAGTGTGTAGTAAATCAGAGTAAACATCCTGGGAATGTATTAGAAACTTGAAATTCAGAAGGTACTCAATGTATGATGATATAAAATATTTTACTGACTTTAAGTGAACTTTCTGTTTTTAGCTGAAATGGCATACAATTTTTGAATGCCTTGTAATGGAACTTTCACAGATAGGCTTCTGGTCCCTTTCAAGTATTTGTGAAAATTGCTCTTATCTTATTTGTGTCACTGCATG